CGACAGATCCCCTGCGAGGAAGGCGAGCTCATCAGGATCTCGTGGGGCTCCTTCAAGGCGGCCGGGGTCGCCTGGGCCAGAGACTTCTGCTTTCTGCAACACGCCGCGGCGTCCACGGACCCAGCAACGGGGGAGCGGCTCTTCTGCGTCGTGTCCGGGAGCATCGAGAGGCCGGAGGTGCCCGACATGGAGAAGCTCTGCAAACGCATCCGCTCTACCGTCAAGACTTCAGGTTTGTGGGCGTCTATTTTTATTGCGGGGTCGAGATGGGCCGCCGCGTTCCCGCGCACGCGACCATTCGAACAAAATATCTGTTTTTGGTTTTGTTTTCTGTTTGTTTATTCTCTCCCTTGCTCTTTGTCGTGTGGTGGTTTTACAATCGAGAAAGGCAAGGGCGACATTTGTCGTCTAGGCAAGTTATTATTTAGTTGTAGCTGATGTTGAGCTGGTGCTGAAAGCGCTGTCGCTGAGTTCGTTCTGCGCTCCATGATACGATCTCGATTCTCCACATGATATTTCGGTGCGTTATGTTGGTGAGTATTTTGCCGCTATTGCTATCGTTGAGAGAGGGGCGGTCGTCCGACGCAACGTTTTCTTTTTTGCGGCCGTGAAACACACGCGGAGCACATGCGGCCGAAACGCAGGACGGCGTTATCTTGAGCCGTGGCACGTCGGGAGCTTGTTTTGGGGGTCGTCGTACGAGGGGTGTTCGCACCGTCACCGGGCGTTTGTTTGGCAGGGCGCCGTTGAGGTTGCGTGGGTCACGCGAACGTCTAGTCTCGTGCCCGTCGGCTTGTCCGAGCACTGCTGTGGAGTGTCCAACGAATGCAAGCTCGGGGGACGCGATAATATGCGGATAGTTCTCTTTTTTACGCGTTTGGTTTTTTGAAGCCTGTCGTTCTGCCGGTTGGGCCAATCACACACCCTAGATGCCCGGCCACTGTTAGGTTGCGATCCGGTTGGCTTGCTAAAGATCTTCCCAATGTTAGCCGTACACATGTTTCCAGTGTAATCACAAACGCAGAATAACCCATACCCTTGGGGGCATGGAAAACGATGGAAGGTGCTATATCACGTTATGTACGAAGCAATACACCACGTGTGAGCACTCTCTTTTTTGCTTAGCACAGCTCGTCTTACCGCTGGCCTTTGCCCCTTCCCCCTCCCAGCACCGCTTCCCATTGACGCTTCCTTGCTTGCCTGGTCGTGGTATGTTCGTGTTGGGTATGTTCTGTTCTTTCTGCAGGCTTAGTGTTCCGGGAGCCAAAGGACGGTGGGCCGATGCGAGCGACCTACGTGGTGAACGTGAATCCGAACGGCTGGATCCCGAGTAAGATCGTCAACATCATCTGCACCAATCAGGCCATGAACGTTTCGAGGGTGAAAAACAAGCTTCACGAGACCGCGAAGGTGAGGAAAAGGGATCACATTTTTCTCTTCTTTTTTATACAACAAGTACAGGTGCAGGGTAAAATCTTGCACGCATTCCTTATCAACGTCGAGTTTTTTGTCGCCGAAGTATTTGCACACAAGGCAAAAACTAGAACGCACGGTACGATTTACCGTGTATTCTTGCCCTACTATTTTCACCATACGTGTGCGTTTTGCCGTCTATTTTGTGTATTACGTTTGGTTGGCGGGGGATCAAACGTGCCTGCGGGTCGAACCAACGTTGGACCGTCTCACCATTTGGTCAATCCACGCGCTTCCATTCAAGCGCCCAGGCCCTGTACACCGCCTAGAAAACACCTCCAAAACGCTCACCAACAGGAGCTGAAGGTCCTGGGTCAACCCTCTGCCCCCCCCCCAATCCCGTTGGTTGTTCATATTCCATCTCGCAACATCTACAACATACATCTGTGCATTTGGACAAAACAAACAGGCCTTGGCAGCGCTAAAGATAGAAGCCCCGATCTTCCCGAAGGCGATCGGCTGGCGACAAACGCACGAGTTCCCGCTCCGGCGCCCGGCCCCCGGCTCGGCCGCCTCCACCGTGAGCGTCAAGTTTTCCGCGACGAGCAAGGTGACGTTCCGCGTCGTGGGGGCTACCGCCGCGACCACGGACTGGGCGCCCGCGGAGGCGTCGACGGGCGTCGGGGCGGGCGAGACTGTCACCTACCCGGCGGACACGCCGACGACGATGACGTTTAAACTTCGACCCGAGGCGGCGAGCGGTAACGGCGCGAGGCGGGGGGGCGGCGCCGTCGGTGCTTCTGACGTGGAGCTGGAGGAGGCGAAGTCGAGCGTGGTGCTCGAGTGGAAGGGGGCGGGTTGGTTCGGGGGCTTGGTGATCTACCACCTGGTCGAGGTCGCTTGAGAGAGAAGCGTGTTGCGTCGTCCCGGCGGGTAAATGTGCCCGCTCGGTGCAGTGCAGAAGTTTGTTCGGTCGGGAGGACGGCGACGTTGTTCGAGAGAGGGAGAAAGAGCGAGAGCGAGAGAGAGAGAGAGAGAGAGAGAGAGAGAGAGAGAG